GAAATTTCAGCTTGGTTTGGATACTCTTAAGCATGGGTTTCTGATGTATCAGGCACCCAGATGACCAAAAAACTGTGGGACATTGCTGTGCGCAATTGTAATGTTAAAGGTGCAATATTAAATATAAGGATTATTAAATATTATCCTCCCTTATGCTCATCATCTTCGTAAAGTGGTTGGGATGTTATCCTACATAAAAAATATGCATGTGAAGGTGGTTATTGTAAACACAAGCACATCATTTCCACATCTCAGTACAGTGCTGAGTTAAAATTTAGTTTGCAGAACACACAATGCATGTCAACCAACAACAAATTATTAAAATCCCATCTGTTGAACAAATCCACTATCTTACATGCAATCTACTTTTGATTATTTGGAGGCTCTAAAATAAATCTGCTACCTGGCAGCCTGAGATTGCTGCTGATTTCAATGGGTGATTCCAAACATTTTTGACCATTTCCAAACCAACTACTCACACTCACACACATCGTATCAGTTGGGACCGTAATATTTTATGACTTATGCAAAGTATGAGTTATGGCAAACTTGTATACGTTCTATCATATATGACTGATGTCATTATGTTTAAGTCGGGTTTTATGTGATTAACACATAACAAATATACAAGTACCAAATTGGCTGGTGACATTAAGGCAAGGTTTCTGTATCATATAAAAGCTATGGTAGCCCATTCTTTCCATGTAAAGTACTGTTGAGTATTGTACCTCATGAGCAGCAAATGTATACTGTACCAAAACCTCCCGTACATTGCAGCCACTAAGTGTACATGCGGTGATGGGTCTCCATCGTTCTCCATGTGATCAGGCAATCCCCGCCCCCTCGCTCACCACGTAATCAGGTGATACCATTTTCTCTCTCAGGTCCCACCCCAGGGAGGGAGGGCAGGGAGAGCAATGGGGTACACATGTGTGGTGTTCCATTTGATGTGTTGGAACAAACAAAACAAATAGTAGCAGTGTTACAAGTTACGCAGTGGTTAATACGGCTAGCGCAGATAAAGTTAAGTGGATTTTATAGGAAAATGAACGGGACTCAGGTGGATGTCCAATTTAAGGGATTATACGATTTAAGGGATTATACAATTCTACGGAAAGTTTTGATCCTGCAGCTGGTTAGTGCAGAAGCTAGCGGCAAGTGAGGTAGCAGTGTTACAAGTTACGCGGTGGTTAATATGACCAGTGCAGATAAAGTTAAGTGGATTTAATAGGAAAATGAATGGGACTCGGGTAGATGTCCGATTTAAGGGATTATACGATTTATACAGATAAGACTTATGCAAGTTTTACAATAACAACTACTTGGATTTACATAGCGCACTCCATGCCGGACGGTGTCTCAGAGTACTTCAGTAATGGAGGAAAGCGGTGGAGGAGGATAGCGGGATCGACTGTGACGAATGCGGCGAAGAGGTCCAGGAGGACAAGGAGGCAGAGGGAGCCCTGGTCACAGATAAAGAGGATGTCGTTTGTGACTTTCACAAGCGCAGTCTCTGTACTGTGGGCAGGGCGGAAACCGGACTGGAGAGGTTTGAAGAGGGAGTGGATTATCTCTAAAATAATGTGTAGAGAAAAAAATATTGGAAAGGTTTGATTTTATTAACAAAATAACTAGGAAATCTGGGAACATTCAATTCCAAACAATTCAAATTGGGTCTTGTTAAACTGCTAACCCAACAGTCTTTAAGTCTACCTCACTGAGCTAATTCTAGTAGGTTCAATGAAGTTACTAAATGGACATACATGAAAGTATTTTATAGTAATTGTCAAGTCAAGTGTAACAATTGTATTTTTGTAAATGAGTCAGACTTTGCACCACACCCAGTATAGGGAGAAGCTGGAAAGATTTGAGCAGTTGGTCTGACTGCAGACATGTTTTCTGACTCCCATTTTAGCATTCCAGCTGGTAAAACATTCCACACTAAAATGGGATTGTTTTACCAAAAGAGGGCAAAGTTCCAAATACAAGTCATTTCTCCATTGTAAATCAGTTGCTGATCAGAAAACTGCATCCTTCATCACCAATCATTATAAATAGAATGAATGAATATAATTCCAACAGTCTTTCAGCATCACCCATGCACATGTAATGATGAATATCACACAGCTGTACTTAAGCTGCAATCTACAGTCTATCTGAAAGATATTCAAACAATCCTAACCTTTACTTAAACAGTTACAAGGAGCAATACAGCCCAACTAAAGTGTGCCAGTGTTTCTACTGCACACAAGCCCACATCCAACCTATGCCCCCTCAACTATACCCTTGTATTTCCTTCTCCCTCACATAAATTGCAATTAAAATTAATTAAATTAAATTCCCTTTAATTGAATTAAAGAAATTCAAAGGATACATTAATAGATATATTCACACACACACAACACAACAACAAATTACATGTGTATAGTACCTTTCATGTTGGGGGGACATTCCAAGGCACTGGACAGTCAGGGATTTGGCCCTGAGCAGGTGGCTGGGAATAGGAGGCACAGTCGAAGAGGAGGGGCTTGAGACATGCCTGGAAGGGGCAAGGGAGGGAGCAAGGCGAAGGGACTGTTGGATGGATTTCCAAAGCATGGCGGCAGAGAGGCTGAAGGCGTGACCACCGATGTTGGGGCAGGCCGGGCCAGAGACATGGAGCAGGCCTGCTGAGCAGAGGGGGCGGACAGGTTGATATGGGGTTAGTAGGTTGGAGAGGACAAAGGCCGTAGAGGACTTTGAAAGCAAGAACAAGGATTTTGAATTCAATCCTCTGAGGGATGGGGAGCCATTGGAGCCGGGGGAGGATGGGGACAATCGGGTCATGGAGCCTGGTGCGGGAGAAGACATGAGCTGCAGAGTTATGGATGATCTGCAGCTTGTGGAGGGAAGAGTTAGGAATACCTAACAGGGAGTTAGCATTGTCAAGCCTCGATGTAATGAACGCGTGAACGAGGATTTTGGCGGCCTGAGAAGTGAGGCAGTGGTGGAACCGCACAATGTTGCGGAGATGGAGAAGGCAGAACGAGTCATGGCACAGATGTGGGGTAGAAAGAACAGTTGAGGGTCAAACAAAATGCCAAGATTCCAGACTGGCTCAGTGAGGTGGAGTGTGCAACCATGGATGGCGATGCTGAGGTGCGAAGGCACTGACAGGAACCAATCAGGAGGGCATCGGTCTTGTTTAGATTCAACGAGAGAAAGTTAGCTCTCATCCTGGACTTAATTTCTGGGAGACATTCCTTCAGGACAGCAGTAGAAATGGGAGTCGAGGGTGGAGCCAGAGAGATGGGTATCATCCACATACATGTGGAAGTTGAACCCATGTCTGTAGATGATGTCACCAAGAGGGAATATGTAGATACTGAAGAGGAGGGACCAAGGACAGAGCCTGAGGAACAACACACGTGACGGTACAGGGACTGGTGGAGAAGCCGTTCGTGGAGACAAAGTAGAGATGGTGCAAAAAGTAAGATTGAAACCAGTCAAGGACAGGACAGTGAAGGTTGAGCTGAGAGAGGCACCGGAGGAGGATAGAATGGTCGACAGTGGGGAAGGCAGCAGAGAGGTCAAGGAAGACAAGGAGATAGAGGGAACTTTGACCAAAAGTGTGCTGTGGAGAGGAAGGAGCAGAGCTGGGAAGCAATGATTTCTTCCAGGACCTTGGAAAGGAAAGGGAGGTTGGAGATAGGGCAGAAGCTGGAGAGCAGGAATGGTCCAGGGAAGGGTTTTTTGAGGATAGGGTGAAGACAGCTGTTTTTAAGGGGGTGGGAATGGTGCCAACAGACAAGGAGAGGTTGATGATGTCACACACGTTTATTAAACACATGGATTTCTGTCTTGTATTTTATCGCATCTTATCAGAACGGGAACAACTGATCCATCACTGACAATGCAGTATACAGAACTCCAGGAAGTTCTTAAATTGACATCAGCCTGGTGTGAAGCGATAAACAACCTATACCTTCATATGCCTATCAGCCAATCCTTGTATGAGGTCATGCCTCTGTACCTTGTCTATTATAGACTATAAAATGGGAGATTTATTACCTGCATAAACATACAAATATTCTGGCACTACTGAAGGAAACAATCAGTCACAGCTCAATGACCAATGTTAGGTAGCAGTTTAAATCACAGAACTCATAACTCACATAACAGCATTCTAGCATGAAAACGCTCAGACATCTGTGCTGGTCGCACGATACTGTACTGTACAGCAAGTGGAAGGAATCAGAGTCGGGATGGCAATCATGACCAGAAACTGAAAGTAATATTTTACTTCATATGATGTACCAGTATGCAGAAAAAACTACCAATTGTATACATCTGGCAGATAAATAGCTGTGGAATGAACAGAAGATAAGTACCATAAGTACAAACAGGAATGAAGATGACTTTTAGTTTTCACCTTGATTTACAGTATACTGTACTTTGAAGCAGCATGTGTAAACTTTGTAAGGAAGAAAAAACAAATAGTCTCACTGGGACTTTTGGAATGACAACTAATCACCAGAAAATAGTTGCAAGAGGCAAATATATCAATCACAGAGAACTCTCACAAAAATAAACTGCAAATCAGACAGTTTGGCTGCCAGATGTCCAACACACAATTTCCTACAGCAGCATACAGGACATAAAAGTACTATTTGACTCCCGGAAAGCAATCCACAAATTGATTAACAAGGTACGTACTTGATGCTCGGTAAACAGGTGGATGGAAACTTGCCTAAGGTTTAGCCCCGCTCTCCATTGTGAGAACTGCCATGTCAGAAAGTTCAAGAGGAAATTGTATAGCTAATAAACAACGTATGAGAGAAAAGAGAGCATTTTATTTTGGGCCTGACCAGATGGACAGGAATGGTATTTTCAGATTGTGTGCATTCTAATGCTATGAACAACAAATCAAACTTGTCTGTTCAACATTTAATCCAGGTTTCTTCTATTGACAGAATAAAGTTGTATTATTTCTAGTTGCAAACTGTTAAAATCATTCTTACCTTCATGTACAGTTACTCCACAATTGTCACATTGTACTATTTCATCTGCATCTTCACTATTTTCTCCCAGACACACACAGCATATCTGTACAAAGTCCATCTTCTGAGAACTAAAGTTCTGGTCTGTTAAAACTGAGTCCTAAAAGTATTTTAAAAAAATGAAAATAGAAAGATTCATCAGAAACTTTTTCAAACACAAAGTAAAATACCTGACTTGAAACATCGAGTTAGAAATCATTTTATTATACACAAATATCAAATATCACAAATGCAACACAACAAAGTACGTTTGAAGGATATTACATTTCCAAATCTTTCATCTCCTAAGTTAAATCGGTTGGTTATATCGATCAAAATTGTTAATATGAAACAAACATTCTCTGATCCTAGAACAAATGATTAAACTATGTAACAAATATAGCAAATCTCTTAAATTACATTCAATATCACCAATGTGAGGGATTATGGTATTGTAAAAGGTTAATAAGAGGCACTACTATGTAGCTGAACGGCCTGTATATGTGCAATCAACAACAACAACTTGCATCTATATAGCACCCTCCACGCCGGGCGGCGTCTCACAGGCTTAACATTGGTGGAGCCCGACGCCAAGCCATGGGGAGGGAGAAGGTGACCATAGGCGTGGTCGAAGAGGAAAGTCTTCAGGCGCAACCTGAAAATGGGGAAAGAGGGGGGCAAGGAAAAGGAATTGAGGGAAGGAGTTTCATAGCTTCGGGGCGTAGTGGCTGAAGGCACAGCCGCCTATTGGTGAGCAGAGGATTCGAGGGACAAGGAGGAGGCTGGAGCCAGTAGAACAGAGGCAGCGGGTACTGCTGTGGGGAGAGAGGCTAGAGAGATAGGGGGTTACCAAGGTGTGGAGTGATTTAAACACTAGAATGAGGATCTTGAAGTCGATCTACTCTGTGACAGGGATCCAGTGAAGTTTGGCAAGGACTGGGGTAATCGAGGCACAGTTTAGTCCAGGTGAGAATACGGACGTCAGGAGTTTTGGATGAGTTGAATTTTGTGAATAGTGGAGGAGGGGAGACTGGCAAGTAGGGCGTTTGGGTAGTCCGGCCAAGGGGATGACGAAGGCGTGGACAAGGGTTTCAGCAACTTGTAGAATGAGGTATTTTCGGAGATGGGCAATGTGGCTGAGGAAAGCTGTCCTAGTCAGCAACCGGATGTGGGGGAGGAAAGATAATTGGGGATCAAATTCGATTCCTAAGCTGCGCATGGGTTCACGGGTTGCACAAAGGATAGATCGGGTAAGGTCTGAACCGCAAGACAGAAGGCATCGACAGAAGCCAAAGAGTATGGTTTCCATCTTGTTTAACTGCATGAAATTTCTGTCGGCTTGTCTGGCCTCATCCAGGCCAGACAAGCCGACAGAACATCAGAAGACTGGGTCGTAGCTGGAGAAGTAGAGCTGAGTGTCATCCACATACGTGTGGAAGTTAACCCCTTGCCTGCGAATGACAATCATCATGCAGACAACAGTAAATGGCAGATATACGCACACATGGTCAGCAGTTTAGAGCACAGAAGCCATTTGGTCCATTGTGTCTGTGCTGACTCATTACTATTCAAGAAGTACAAATGCATAGTCAGTGCATTTCACAGTAATTCCTGTAAAGCGCTTTGAGACATCCTTCCAACATGATAAGGGGCTATACCAAATGCAAAGATTATTATTATGTACCATTTACCTGCCTTTTCCCCATATATATTCATTTTAGATATCCATCTAAAAATTCATACGGATCTTATCCAGCAACGCACTGCATGTCCTAACAACTTTCAATGTCGAATATAAGAATTATGTTAAAAAAATCCTCCAATCTTCCCCTTTGCTGATTCTCTTAATTATTTTACACGGTAACCAGTGACTCTTTGATTTTATATTCTATAGCCCTGTTAGAAAACCTAGGATCGCCTGCACATAATCAGAGCTTTGATATCTGTCTTTTCTAATCAAATATAAGTTTTTTTAAAAATGAGCTAATTCAAACAATTCTCAGTAAGCCTGAAGATTTGTGGGGAAAAAAGTACCTTTCAAGTTTCATGAACTTTAGATAGCCAAAATACATCCGAGTACACACAACACTATCAGTACTGAGAATTTACCATCTTCAAAAAATTCTGGTTTTGACTCAACTAAAACTTAATTATGGAATCAACAAGACTTCAGCTTTCCTAGCCAAAAATGTTTTGTGTTATCAGTGGTAGCACTGTCGCCTGAGTCAGAGGTTGTGGGTTCATGCCCCATATCAGGATTTGAAATCACATGTTCTAACCTGACACACTAATGCAGCGCAGGGGGTGCGTTGCATTGTCGGATGCAACGTCCTGAGATGAGGTACGGATCAGCCATGATCTTATAGAATGGTGGAACAGGCTCGAGGGGCGGAATGACCCATTCCTGTTTCTATGTGTCTGTGCAACGTTAAACTTAGGTCACACCTGCCTGTTCAGGTGGACGTTAAAGATCACATGGCACTATTCAAAAAGAGATGCGAGTTTCTTGAAGTGTCCTTGGGGTTAACTTCCACATGTATGCGGATAACACCCAACTCTATCTCTCTGCCTCCATCCTCGATTCCAGGACAACTGCTGTCCTGATAGAATGTCTGTCAGACATCCTCATCCTCACCTTCAAGTCGCTCCTCCGCCTTGCCCCTCCTTACCTCTGCAGCCCTCTGAACCTATATCAACCTGCCCGCTCCCTCCGCTCAGAAGGCTCCGGCCTGCTCCACATCTCCCGCCCAGTCCGCCAACCATCGGCAGTCGGGCCTTCAACCTCTCTGCCCCCACCCACTGGAACTCCATCGCACATTCCCTTCGCCTCGCTATCTCCCTCACTTCCTTCAAGGCACGTCTCAAGACCCACCTCTTCGATCTCATCTCTGGCCACCCACCTACACTCACTGCCCTCCACCCTCCCTGATCGGGACCAAATCCCTGAATGTCCAGAGCCTTGGAACGTCCTCCCGACGCGAAAGGCACAACACAAATGTAATTTTGTATTGTATTTTGTATTGTATTGCAAACTGGCTGTCATGCTTCACCCACAAAGTATACAGTCAAATCCTCTTCACAGTATATCCTGTGAAGCGCTTTCAGATTCTTGACAACATGATAAGACAGTATATCAAATGCAATGAGTATTATCATTGAGTTTATTTCTGAAAGTAACCTTATTTCATTTACGATTGGAAAACAAGCTGTTAGCTCATAATACTTTCATCTCTCAAAAGAGGTTGGGAGCCAAATCACAGGTCTTTAAGGAGTTAAGCATCAAATATGTCACACTATTTCTTAGGCATCATCTTTTTATACTTCTTCCTAATTAACTAAGCAGTAGTAAATGATGCCGATAACCTGTTCACGCTTTGCTCTTGTGGCTTTCGGCAAATAAAATTGGTCACTCCATGTTTTTTTGTGGGACGCTGATGTGATGCATATTGGCTGCTGCGCTCTCCCAAAAAACGCACACCACTTTACAATATATTCTGTGAAGCGTTTAGGGATGTCCTCCTGATACGAAAGGCGCTATGTCTAATACAACATCTATTATTGTGATTATTTAATTATAACTGCATCATCTTCATGCATCACTTAATTTTCTATAATAAACAAAAACATGAAGGTAGCCTCATTATAGTAGAGAGTGAACAGTCAAACTGATTTTTTTTGCTCAGCCAGATGTCTGACACATGAAGAAACCCATCACCATCCTTAAAAAGTATCCAAACTGAACTGAGATCCATGCATCCCATCTACACATGGAAATTCCAGAAATAGATTGTTGGAATGGAATGCACTCTCACTCTCTGGAGCGACGCATCCCGCTTACCTAATTCTGGAAATATTAGCTGCAGGTTGGCAAGAGCCAAGGCTTGGGGACCCCAGTGTGTGTGTTGGGGTACTGCTGGAGTCTAACCAGCTAAAAACGCACAGCTTGCCATTGATATTAATGTCCGGCAAGCTTTGCTGCTGCTTGACCACCCTCCCTGGTAGGGAGTTAGGACTTGCAAAGTTAACAGGAGCTGAGTGGGATGAGTCCCTGCCCTGAGTTCCCCACGTAGCCCTCCCCCAGGAGGATCATCACTAGTTGGTCGTTCAACATCCGACAAGCACAGGTTTGAGCCCCCACTAGGTGGATGGTAGGTACAAGGAACTCGCTGCAAGCTTCCCGTGGGCAACGCATCTTAGCATGCAATGGGTGAGAGCAATGCCACCGTCTTCCTGTCCGCAGCTCGGGCACATAGTATTTAACTTACAAATTGAAAGTAGATTTAATTTTCACTGCAGTAAAACTTTAAGATCAAACAAAATCCTTCTCATTGCCTGCACCTACTGATTGTATAAACAAAATGCACAATGCAAAACATTGAAACCTCTTCAAAATTTAACTTAATCATGGCAGATATGGATAGGCTGCATTTAATGCATATTTTGTATCTTCCATTTCTTAATAAACTAGCACAATTGCCAAGTGTGTAAAAAAACAATAATTTACAATGAATTCACTTTTGTTCAGACTTTCGTTTCAAACTTTCTAATCACAAGTTTCTTCTATCATAACCTAGAACAGCTACTGTTCTGCAGACTGAATGTTCTTTCTAGTTGACAATGGATCTATAAATATGGTAGAATATATTTGTGCATATATTTGCAGTACCTCATATTTCTTGTTCTGTGTCAGAATAAAACCATCAGTTGTTCCTTCAGTCTCCGCAACGTTTCTACTGGAAAGTCTATTTTTTCTTCGGATTCTCTTATCTTCTTCACTAGCACTGCTGCAGTTCTCTTCGTCATCATCACCACCCCCATTCTCACTGTCACTGGCATCATCATCATCATCCTCTTCACCACCTCCTTCATCATCTCCATTGTCTTTATTGACACCTTTTCCTTTCTTCTTTCCACTAGGTTGCCAATCATTATCATCTTCACTATCATAATCATCAAACCCATTTAGTTCTTCTACTGATATCATATCTAACATTGATCTTTTTTTACGCAGATTCCATTTCTTCTGTCCATCGTTTGACTCATCAGCCCCAGCTTCATCTCCAGTTTCCTTAGTTGCCTTGACAGTTTCACTTTGTTCGCTGATGTCAGCTTCTTCTGACGGTTCCTCTGTGCACTCCTCTTCAACTTTTGTGTCAGTTTTGCATTTGTTATCTTCTTCAGATTCTTCTTCACTGTGATTGTGCCCTTGCTCACTCTCCGAACCATCTTCACTATCTTTGCCTCCACTCTCTCCACTTCCATCAGAATCTGTTATGAAACAGTCAAATTTTCTGAAGTCAATTTGATTGTCAAAATAGCAGCATTATAGTACACAGCTACATAAAAACGTGAGCGTTTATTTGAAATTATATTTTGTGAGTACATTTGGATAGTTGAATTGAAGGTATAACTGACTCAGTGTTAATTTTGCAGTTTCCACTATTAGGAATTTTGATTGAAGCTTTTTGGAGAGTTATCATTGAAGCAGCTAAGATTTATTGAAGAGATGGGGGTGTGTGTGACTGATGCGAACATTGAACAATGCAAATTATCACATTTCACAGGGTAGAATGAGGTTTTTCATATATCATTTTCATATCAAGGTAAATTTTTAATTATTACTATTCTACCAGAGTAATTGAACAACAACAACTTGCATTTATATAGCACCCTTTACTCAGGGTAGGGTCTTGGAGAATTCCACTTATACTCAGTAAACAAAACACACTAGTAATAAAATATGTTGTCACTGTATTACAAATATCTACAGTATAGCCTCCAGAATATTTCTATTGAAATGGATCTAGGATCACTTAACTTAAACCTTAAGGACCTGAAATAATTCAGATGTGCAACTTTAATGAATCTTTTAAAGGTTTAAATTAAATTCTGCAACACGCATAATGCAGCAACCTGTAATACCTCACTTCATGTCAGCCATTATAATGCATTCAAATGCAATCATGTGGATTTAAGAAATAGTGTATTGTAGGCGTGTGAAAACATGCTTGCTCAGGGTGTTGTTGAAGTGTCTTTTGCACAACTCTGGGCCCTCTAGAGAACACAGATGTGCTCCAGGACTATGACACATGCCTGTCTATTCCCCAACTAGTACGGATGAGATTATAGGTCTTGCAAGGTATAATAATTCTTGCATTTGATTTAGCGCTTTATCACGTCTTCTGGACATCTCAAAGCACTTCACAGAATATAACAAAAAATTACATTTGTAGAGCGCCTTTCACATCGGGAGAACGTCGCAAGGCACTGAATAGTGAGGGATCAGGACCCGAGCTTGGGGAGCAGGATTGGGATGAGGGAGGGCAGATGGGGTAGGAGGCCGGCTGAAGGCAGTCAAAAAGGAGGGTCTTGAGTCATGCCTTGAATATTTAACATTGTTCTTTGCTAAGTATCCTGCCCTTTGGCTTGGTTCACATATGAAGACGTGAAGCACTTGAGGGCAATAATAGGGTGGAACCATATCCAAACACAAGTCGCCACTTTGAGTAGTGTTGAGAGGAACACTGGAGAGGTAAAATTAACACCAATTAAAAGTACTTTTGAAGAAGTGAGAGTTGTTTCAATAAGAACTTGGTTTAAAAAAAACAGTAAAGATCAAATTAATTGTTCTCTATCAAACAAAAAATTGCCTGAGACAATACAGAATAAACCCACATATAAAACACTTACCTGAAGCATCTCCTACTTTAAAATCACTATCATCTGAGCTGTCATAATCCAAAGCTTCCAGGAGAGATGTCGCCAATGGTTTGACTTGTCGTTTCTTCGGACCACGCTCAACTATTGAAAGTCAGAATTAAATTTACTCAAAAAAGACCAATATAAATACTCATATTTCTGCAGAAAACAAGGTAAACCAAGGCAACTCTTGATTTATATCTATGTTAAAAATGAAACTTTAAAGAATTCTGTATTGTTCTCTTTGGAAAAGAAATTTTAAGAATTTGAAGCCTTCAAAATTAAATGAAATATTGTCCAAACTGATGTTAGAAAATGATTCATTTTTCCAAATAGTTTAAATACTAGGGAGCAACAAGTTCAAAGGTAGTAAACTGAGATTATGGAGAGAACGTATGACGGAACAATTTTTTTTACGTAGAGAAAGAGTTGTGCCATACGTTACCAGTGAAGGACACAGAATTGAATAGCTTGAAATTGATTAGGTTGAAAAGCAACCAAACATAAGGAATAAAGAATATAACAAGGCAGAGCATTGCAGTTGAGAGAACTGAAGAAGACAGTAGTGTAAAACTTCATGGCTGTTTCTGTTCCTTAAAATGTTAATTTCTTACAGATTAGACTCCACCGGTGTTAAATGGGATTCATAAAAGAGACCAGAACTTCAAAAAAACTGACACATGCATCACCACGCTTAAGACTATCCAAAATAAACAGAGCGTCATGCATCTGTTGAATACATAGAAATTCCCAAAATATTTATTGGAATGGAATTTGCAGTCTCCCTGGAGGGATACATCATGCTTAGCAAGTTCAGGAGAATATTAGGTGCAGGTTGGCAAGAGCCAAGGCTTGGGGAACCCAGAGCGTGCGTTCCAGTACTGCTGCAGTCTAAACATAGCTTGCCATTGAAAGCACTGTCTGGCAAGTTTTTCTGCTGCTTGTCCAGCTGGGACCACCCTACCATTAGGGCTTTGGCTTGTAGAGTTAACAGAGCTGAGTGGGGTGATTCCCTGACCCCATAAATTGGTCTGCTCTTCCAAATCCTGCTGGAGAGCCCGGCTGCGAGAGCTACCATCAGCTGTGCCCTGGAGTACTTCGCACCCTCCTTCCTGGCTTAGGAACTGCGTTGCCGAGACCGACACAGAGGTTGGCTCTATTCTGACATTCCGTGGCCAAATATATCACCTTGGAGATAGTTCAGCTCGATCACAAAACACGTGTCATAAGATCACAAAACACTGATAAAAATCAAACCACAGGTACTCCTAAGTGCCTCCATCTTTGATATCTCGCTGCCAATTGGCTGCCTTCAGCAATTTCCTCCGCCAGTGAAAACTGACATAGAAATTACATTGAACTGTAACTGAACAAACCATTGTAATGGGTTAACAGACCCATCTACATCAGAATTGCGATACAAGTCTGCCTTAGCCTCAGGGTGAGTGCACAATTAAGATTCACCGACAAACTAAAATATGCTGAATTTATTTTGTTTTTGGAAGAATGTGAATCACGCCAACATATGGGGCACAACTCAGCAATCATGTGCTTGTCTTAGCTGAACAAATCATTTTATTTTAGCCCTCACTGGTGATGGAGACAACCAGCATGGATGGCAAGTAAACAAAAGGGTCATCTCTTGTTTAGATAAAATACTTAAAGGAGTAAAGGTTTGCCACCATTAGCTCACATGTTAACTGGTTATTTGATTTTTAAGTAAATGGTGGATTTTTCGCTATGAGAAGGAAATAGACCTGATGTTCCATTTCAGTAGGTTAACAATTCACAAATGTTTAACAACCTTTGGCCAAATCCCATGAAACTAACAGTAATGAAAACCTGGTGTGTGAAACTGAATACAACAATGCCTACAGAATACTGAATACCATTACACAACCTGAGCGTGAACTTTGAGCTCCTGGTTTAGAGAAAGGTCAGTGCAGTTTCTGGGTGCTGCACCGCCCGAGATGCCATCCTCCGGACGAGTCGCCGAATCCAGATCCCGTCTGCCTGTTGAGATTAAAAAAAGGTGCTCGAAAAGAGAACGGCGTTTTTGTTTTGGTCAGCCGGCTGGGTGTCTGACACACACACAAACCCGTCGCCATACTTAAGCGTATCCAAACCAAACTGAGATTTCCATGCATCCCACCTAGACATGGAAATCCCAGAGAGAGATTGTTGGAGTGGAATGCGCCACTCTCTCCCTGCGGGGACACATCCTGCTTACGTATTTCTGGAGAATATTAAGCATAGATTGTCAAGAGCCAAGGCTTGGGAATCCCAGAGTGCGATGGGGTACTGCTGGAGTCGAGGCTGGACCCGTTATCCTTTTTGACTCGTTCAGCTTTCTCCCACCTCACAATATTGCCAGCCTCCAACACTACCTCAATCTACCGAGACCCTTATCCAGGCCTTTATCACGTTCAGGCTTAACTATGAGCACTCTCTGCTCGCTGGACTTCCCAACTCTTCCCTTTACAAGCTACAAACCATTCAGAGCTTTGCAGCTCGTGTCCTCTCCCGCACTAGGATCCGTGAGCTGATCACTCCCATCCTTGCCTTGCTCCACTGGCTCCCCATCCCCCAATGAATCAAGTTCAACATCCTCATCTTCACTTTTAAATCCCTCCAACCTCTGTGACCTTCTAAAACTTTGTCAACCTGCCGACTCCCGCCACTCAACTGGCAACGGTCTGCTTCACATTGCTCCGCCAGCCTCACCATTGGCATACAGGCTTTCAACCTAACTGCCCCGACTCTCTGGAACTCGATCCTCCGTGGTTTATAAAAACAGTTCCATACCCGAACCATTTCTACCATTTTATTTCAGTTATATGTTTGAGAGTTGTTTTGTGTTTTGGAATACCATGTGCCTGAATGTTGGAATACATTTTCTCTTTGAAATCACACTGATATCAAGAAATCCAGGTCAAATAATAAAAATAATCCTTGCATTTGATATAGCACCTTATGTTTTGCCCTGTCCGGGAATCGAACCCAAGTCCTCTCGCATGCGAGCCGAGTGCTCTAACCACTAAGCTACAGGACTCCACATATAAAAATATAAAATAGAATCAGAATTTAAGAATTTTTCACAATTCTGCATAATCTTACATTTAAGGATAGGACAGCCTCACTGGCAAAGACAAGGTAGAATCTTGGATCTCAAGTGTAGAATCTAAATTTCCCCCTAACAGTACTATTGGTGAATTGTAATTTGTTGTGCTCATGGATGAAAACAGCAAATGAGGAATTCATGAATAGATGGAAGCCAATTGAAGCAGGGAAGACAATTTGCCTCTATGTCTGAAACTTCTCAGACATGGAAATATAGAGTTATGCTTAGGTTAAGTGTTGAAACCTTTGGCCTTCAGACGAGTTAGCTATGCTCAGAGTAGGCAGTACATTATGTCTTCAAGTACTGCAGCTTTATTATAACAATTTGCTTGCATTTGATACAGTGCCTTTAAAATTGGGAGAATGTCTCCTAGCACATCACAAGATATACTGTAAAGCATAGTAACTGTATATTTTGTTGCAGTCAATTTGCTTACAGCAATGCCTAACAGAGTTAATCGCTCAAATCATAACTGGCTTGGGAAAACATTGTTTTTGCTGGTTACTAATTTAGGATTCTGTATTGGTTGTTCTGTCCTTCTATTGAATTGATTTGCTTTATTAGTTAAGATACAATGTTTACAACAGAACCATCCACATCAGCAATAATATTCTAATTCAAAATACTAACCTTCTAACATGGTGAAATTAATAAACAACTCTCCACTGAACCATCCTATCATTCACCGTGTTCAGAGTGTCTATTTCATGAACACAATGATTAAAATATTTAGCATTTGCAATGACATGCAACTGAAATAGTTTGACTATAATACATCTTTTCAAGTGCTGAAGATGAGATTTTGTTTTGGTCGATACCGTGGACCACTCCATCCTCCTCCACTGCCTCTCCTCTCACCTCAACCTTCAAGATTGTGTCCTTGAATGGTTCAGGTCTTATCTCTCACACCGCCTCCAATTTGTCTTCACCAACAGTTTCTCTTCCAGCCCCTACACAGTCTTGTGTGGTGTTCCTGAGAGCTCTGTCCTCGGTCCCCTCCACTTCAACCGCTATGCTCCCTCTTGGTGACGTCATCCGCAGACATGAAGTCAACTTCCACAAGTATGTGGATCACACCCAACTCTATCTCTCTGCCTCCACCCTTGATTCCAGGACAACTGATGTCCTGACAGACTATCTGTCTGACATCAAGTCCTGGGTTATAGCCAACTTTCTACAGCTGAATGTCAGCAAGACCGAGGCCCTCCTGATTGGCTCCCGTCAGCGTCTCCACACCTCAGACATTGGCAGCATCAGCATCCACAGTTGCCCACTCCACCTCACCAAGCCAGTTAGGAACTTGGGCATCATGTTGGGCACCAAGTAGAGTCCTGTAGCTCAGTGGTTAGAGCACTCGCTTTGCAAGCGAGAGACCTGAGTTCAATTCCAGGCAGGGCGAAACCTTGGGCAAGTTTCCTTACTCCACACAGAGCCTAATAATAATCCCTCCAAAACCAAAAACAATAATAAATTGGTCATTTTCAATCTACGACTGTTTGTGGGACATTGCTGTGCGCAATTGGCTGCCGCGTTCGCCCACAAATATGCAATCAATTCACTTTACAGTGTGTTCTGTGAAGCGCTTTGGGACGTCCTCCCAAAGTGAAAAGCGCTATATCAAATACAAGGATTATTATTATGTTCGACCCTCAACTGTCCTTTCTTACTCATATCCGTGTCATGACCCGCTCTGCCTTCCCCTACAACATTGCCCGATTCCGCCTCACCCCTTAGGCCGTCAAAACCCTCGGACATGCATTCGTCACCTCAAGGCTCAAATACGGAAACACCCTCCTTGTCGGCCTCCCCAACTCTTCCCTCCACAAGCTGCAGATCATCCAGAATTCTGCAACTCGTGTCCTCTCCCGCACCAGGTTCCATAACCCCATCACCCCCACCCTCACCCGGCTCCTTGAAGGCACGACTCAAGACTCTCCTTTTTGACCATGGGGAGAGAGGGGGCAAGGGGTAGGTATTGAGGGAGAGTGTTCCACAGCTTTGGGGTATAGTGATTGAAAGCGCGACCTCCAATGGTACAAGGATGTGAGGGACAAGTAGGAGGCTGGTGCTAGTCGAACGGAGGTGTCAGATGGTGGATTGGGGAGTGAGGTGGTTAGAGAGGTAGGTAGGGAAGTGCTAGGTAGTGAATGGATTAGAACATGAGTGTGAGTATCTTGAAATTGATCCATTCGGTGCTAGGGAGCCAGT